GGAGATGGCTAGGCCTCCCTCTCCAGGACCCTCCTCTTTGGCAATGCCTCAGGTGTCTTCCGACGGAGAAGAGATTGACCAGGAGCCAGGTGGTTCAGAGATTGGCCAGGAGCCCGGTGTTTCTCAGATTGGCCAGGAGCCAGGTGTGTCGGATAATGAGGAGGAGAAGTTGTGGCTGGATCCACGCCAGCGTAGGAGCGATAAGCGTGCGCAGCAGAAAAAGAGACGTGCCAGAGATTAAGCTGAGTCACTGGACCACACCCCACAGGCTATAAAAGGGTGGTGGTGGCCATTTGGACCTCTGTGATGGACAAAAGCTGAATCTCTGGCAAAGTCGTGTGCTGTGATTTTAAACTGTGTGTATTGTTTTTGTTTCTGTGTGTTTTGAGATAAAAGGTCTTGGCAGGCAGCTATGGAGCTGCTGTCAAGTTTCTTATCTGTGAAGTGGTGTCTGGATAAGTCTTTAAACCCTCGGCTGGCTGTTTGGGTGTGTGGGTCGGAACGGGGACAGAACAGCTGTGGTGGTGCAGTGGTTAGAATTCAGTACTGCATGCTAGCTCACTGCTCACTCCAGGAGTTCGATTCTGAATGGCTCAAGGTTGACTCAGCCTTCCATCCTTCCAAAGTTGGTAAAGTGAGGACCCAGATTGTTGGGAGCAATATGCTGACTCGGTAAACCACTTAGGGCTGTAAAGCACTATGCAGTGGTGTATAAGTGCTATTGCTATAATGCCAGTTTTTAGAATTGCATTATTTCAAGAGTGCTATCCCTGCCTCATGCCAGTGGATAATTAAAACACAGAATGAGCAACTTTGAGAAAATAAAGTCAGAAAGATGTATTAAAAGAGATAGATATCAAGTTACAGAAATTTCAACAACTGAATTACTTTAATTTTATAATCCAATTTACCATGTTTTCCCGAAAATAAGACCCAACCGGAAGATAAGCCCTAGCATGATTTTTCAGGATGCTCGTAATATAAGCCCCACAAAAATAAGCCCCAGTTAAGATCATCAGCCAGATGGATATATTTAGTATTGTATTTCCCTGAATATAAACTCTAACCAGAAAATAAACTCCAGTGAGTCTTTTAGAGCAAAAATTAATATAAGACTCAGCTTTATTTTCGGGAAAACACGGTATCCTTTAGTGTTTTAGGGCAGAGACCTTTTCATTTGCTTTTAATGCGCATTCTATGAACCATATACTCCCTGCTTATTCCCCAAACAACAGAAGGATTCTTAGGTGTGTGTTCATGTTTGCCCAGGTCTCTCCTGGATCCTTTTCAAGTAGTGAACCTATCATTTTATGTACTCCCATATTTAGAAGCCTGTCCCCTGTATTGCACATATGTAAAATATACAAAAAAATACTTCAAACAGAACCACACACCAAAGCCTGTAGATATATGAAATCCTTTACTGCAGATAATAATGCCTGATCTATATTTTTTAACCAGGAATAATGGAACCAGAGATAATAAGGATTAAGGTTTAAAGTGGTGGATTTTTTTTCCTTAAAAAAAGAGATTATGTTACAATGTTATGATAATTCACCCTACAAGCTTTGTTAATATGTGTAGAATATGAAATTTCTCTTTTGCCTTTTAACCACTGTCTCTACTATAGTTATTACGAACAATGGAAAAAATTTGCATTTTACATTTTGACCATGAAGCTTATGATGTAGTATTTACATTTATGAAGATAGCCATAATTAGGATATGATGCCCTCTAGAAAGTTGGATCAGTTTTATTTTTCAGCACTTCTGGCACCTTCTTTCAGGTTTTCTCCCAACCCATTGAATAGCCAGTCTGTGTGAGAGCATGATACTCAACATTGGTTTTTACCAAGATAAGAGCTTTGTTGGACTAAAGTAACAGCTTGACTCCTTGAAAATGACTACTTGACTACTGGAAATTCTGAAAGACTGTGCAATTGTAGGGAAATATTCTCTTTACAAGGAAAGTAATACTGATAACTAAAAATCTGAGATAGATAGATAGATAGATAGATAGATAGATAGATAGATAGATAGATAGATAGATAGATAGATAGATAGATAGATAGATAGATAGATAGATATAGATATACAGTAGATGTAGATGACATAGATGTAGATGTAGATATAGATATATGGTAGATATAGATATAGATAGATATATTGTTGTACGTTGTTGTATGTCAGCTTGGGCAAATAACATAAATCAAATTGAAGTAAGCAAGGAGAGTGATCACATCAATAAGTGTAGAAATAAAAGAAAAAAGAGCTATTCCCCCATGTCGCAGCTTGTCCAATGATTCTGTTAGTCAATATCAGGTATGCTTAATTTATCATTTAAATTTAATTGGTGGCATATTTAATGAGATTTGATTTGAAGGGGTGAGCTGGTGTATAGTTGGCTTGACTTAGCTCTGCCTATTTGATGCAATATCAGCCCAGACTGCCGGAATTGAGATGAATCATTGTGGCTTACTAGACTTATCAAGAGATTCTTCTCCTTCAGTGAGGGATCTGAGTATGCACATCTTAAGTTAGGTTACAGGATCAGCATGAACATTTGTTCATACACAGGTTCCTCCATTGCCTTATCTGAGCTAGGCAGGATAATTATATGATGTAGAGAATCTGAAGCTCTTTAAGGCTCACAAGCACATATGGTCTCTTTCATGCTTCCATCTTATGATTTCCATGACAAGCATGGGCAATTTTACTATATCACCAGTTTAAGTATATGTCATCAGTACATAAAGCAGAGCATCCTCATAATTTCATAATTAAGCATTGTGTAAAGATTACGAACGGGGAAGCTTTCTTATGTCTCTGTTCTCATAGTCAAATTATTTTCTGGTAAGGATTGGATTGGTAGCCATCAGACTCACATTAGTGAGGGATCCTTTAGACTTATTTGTGAATTCCAGAATACTCTGAAGGGTTTCCAGGTGAAAGGTTTGGAAACTGCCAAAATGCATTTACAACATCTTTAAATAAATGTTGAGCCATTACTTTCATTAAACTACACTCTATGAGAAAGAATGCTTGTTTTCCATTATATTTTTAGATACAGGTTGCCTGGCTACAATATCTAAATCTAAGTTGGATTATAGCAATTTGCCATAATTGGAGCTACTCTTAAGCTTGGCCAGAAAAATGCATAACCCAGGCATTACTGCAATATTTGTTCTAAAGGAGCTGTACCAATTTCCAATTTGCTGCTGAGCTGTTTGGTGTGACTGTAACAAATTACAAATTTGTATGTGTGCTAGGTTTCATGAAACAAAAGTGGGATAAAAATCTTAAAATAAAAATAATAATTCACAGGTGCAATTTTTTTTCTATAAAAGTAGCTGCCCTTTCACCAAAATAATAAGCTCACTCTTAGTGTGCAAAGATAGCAGTTTTATTGCAATGCATTGGAAGCAAAATACAATTTCCTATAATTTGAGATTAATGTGGTGACAAAATTCTTCTATTCTTATATATAGCATAGAATACTAAAACTTTTCGATTTTGTAGCTCGTCCATCTTTAGGGGTTATTTTAAAATTATCCTTTTCTCATTAGTTTAGCAGTTCCATGTAGGCTTATATTGACCCCTTTAGTCTTCAGCAAATTATTCAATTTATTAAAAGTCTGACCAAGTCTTAATATATCATTTAACTTCTCAGACAACAGAAGCTGCCTCATAAAGTGCTATTGGGTGGGAGAAAAAAGGATAATCTGCAATTATTTTCAGAAATAATTGAAGTAATTTTGCTTTTCAGAGCAAGAAAAGATGCTACACTAACATGATATATTTATACGATTTATATATTAAATACATCCTTCCTATATGAAAATACAGGTGCATATTTTTCTTTGTAGGTTGACTGTTAGAATTGGTATATCTTTTATATCAGATTTTAATAAAATAAGAATGACAAACATGTAGAGAACATTTTAAAAGTTAGCTGTTTTCTAGTGTCAAATAGTAAAATTATTTGGATAGCACTAATGGTTGTAATAAGAACTCTCAGATATTTTCATAAGGCTAACAACCATCATGAGGAACACAAATCTCAAGTGGGCTTTGGCATTTTTGTATAAAGTGCTTAACAAAATTAAACAGCCTGTTTATATCATGATGTGTTGATGTCAGCAAATTGCATAACCACCTAGGAAAAAGCCATAAATATAAAGATCTTGACTACATAAAATGCTGTTTAGACTAATCTTCCTTTCCCTCATCCCCTAATATTGCCTGATGAAGCGCTCTGAAGATCTTAACATGTTGTTTTATTATTTCATTTGATTTTAGTTGCTTGTATAAAAGATAGTATTTTTCTATGGATTTGAACCATTTTATCTACGGAGTAACATGGGTATGATTATTATTTTAGGCATCTATCTAGCTTTCATCATTTTAACTAGAAAACATAGTCAAATGAGGGAGGGGAGGGAATCCCTATTTTTGGATTTGATTCTCATCTTTCAGAAGTTTGAGTGGTCCCACAACAACATTAATCTTCTCCTGAGTTTCGTCCACGCCTCTCTTCTTTCTCATTAAACATCCCTGGTAGCATCGAGATGAATGATCATCTAGTCTACACACTACTAATTTACATTGTAGGTAAACTGAATTGTACTCATTAAGGAACTTAAAGGAGTTGAATTGGAAACGAACTATATTGTTTCTTGGTGAGGACAGGCTTCTATAAGTAGAGTCTCGTGCGCATCTGAAAAATAAAAAAAAAGTTGTTTCAGGTATGCCTGTTTATTTCAAATATTTTATTACAGCATAATGATGTATATAATTACTAAATTTCTGCAGAGTAGGCTGACTCTGATGATTATGAGATGCACTAGAGAATAATGGAGAAAGCATATAATATTGGAATATCAAAATGAATAAATGAAACCCAAATTTGGGGCTCGTAAAAGTGCTTCAAGATATGTACTTGGGAGGGAAAGTAATATGTTGCTAGTACAGAGGACTGTATAGTAAGAGCAAGGCAATGGCCCTGTAGTAATAACTATTTTTTTATTTTCAAAATATGTAAAATTGACCATAATCAAAAGAAAGTTTGGTCATTAGTATACATTTTGTGACCACTCCATTCAGCCCACAATATCCCTTTATTCTCCTTAGTTTTTCTATATGCGATTGAATTACTTGATATTAACACATATTTTATAATTTGATATTAACATTTAATATTTGAAAGAAGTGAAATATTTGATACTAAAAAAACATGGCATTGTTTTGTTTGAAAATGTGTGGTTATAGTTTGCAAATGAACCCTGCCCTTCTTTCTATACTGTTTTAAGAAGTAAGACATAAGAAGAAAATCTAACTCAGAATCTGTGTGGCTGACACAACAGCAATTCCTTTGTGGACAACTTGGGATTATGGTTCTTACATATTTAATACACACTTACCCGCTTCGGATTAAGTCATAGGTCAAGGTTCTAAAATCATTACTATCTGGAGACGCGACACATGTGTCTAGGAAGAGTATAAGATTTGGATCAGAACTGTGCAGAGTAGCTTGGAGATATAAATTCTGGTTGAGTGAAACGTAGTATGGTGATCCCACAATTCTACGGCTGAATGATGGTGAGGAATAGAATGCCAGAGAAACATTGTAATGGCCAATTTTCCTTTGAGTCAGGTCAATCGCATTGTGAGCAATAAACATCGTCTCCACAATAGTGTTCTGCTTCATTTCACACAAAACATGAAATTGAAAGTTTTTCTTTCTTGTAATAATATAATCGGGGTTGATTGTCTTGATTACATTGTAATAAATTATTGTGTCATTATTCTTCGTCTAAAAAAGCACAGAAAAAAAGAAAAATTAATCATCAGTGTAGACATCAAAATACCCATTAAACACCACCAGTTTAAAGAGTGCTATTATTTCAGAATTATAATAACAAAAGCTATGTTACCCATTACAATCATTTCAGTAGCCACAACCCTGGCTCTTCCACAACTCAGATGATGAAATAGGAAGTCAGTCTCAAAGACATAAGGATATCAATTTTTTTTCTCCTTTCCAAAATTCCCTTTTTTATTTTAATTGTAATATTGGTTCCAGTTAATGTATTTAAAGTTAAGCAGAACTTCTCAAACCCAAGATC